CCACCGTCTCCTCGGCGATTGGCGTCACGCTGCTGCGCCGCGCCGCTCGAAGGGAAATGAAAGCGGTGGCCAGGGGACACCGGGAAATCAACAAAGAGCCAGTCTGTATGCACATCCGTGGGATTTAGGTGTGTGTGCATGTCTGTGTGTGTGTGTACATTTGTCTGTGGACTACGTCGGTTGTCTCTGTGTAGCATGTGTGCGGCATGAATGTCTAGTACCTACATGAGCATGTTGTATGTATGTTTGTGCAGTATGTATGGTTGTGTAGGAAAATCAATAGGTCTCGAGGGCAATGCTTTCTGAAATGGGTCATTCAAAGAAATCAATAGTGTTCTTGCTGTGACATCCGGATAGAATGTTTTGGACGGTTGAATGCCATCGGACGGTGAATTTGAAGTTGCCACGAAGCCCTCCCCTCCATCTTGTATACTTCAAAATCAGTTTTCACACCGATACCAGTCCGATTATTAACTATTGACTGCACATCGAAACAGAGTATCGATACCGCACGGACTTTTCATCCGTCACTTTTCAATGAACACAGACTCCGCCTACCAACACTATCCAAAAAAAGAAAAAAAAAACTGTCCCAAAGCAGTCTGCATGTGTTCATCCACATGATGGTAAACGCGGTGTTCGCCACTCTCAGCTGACCCGGTTCCTGTTTGAAGCATCCTGATGTGTTTCCTCCCTCACTTGTGAGTGTTGGTCTCAACAGCGACCAGGCTCCAGCCGATGAGTCAGCGGCACTCTCATGCGAGACCCGACAAACGTGACTCACGAAGCTCACTTTTGTGATCGCACGCCCAAACACACTCGCTGGACAAATACCCACTGCTTTTGTATGTTATCCCCTGAAATGTTGATGTTTGATTGACCTTCTTATTTTAGTCAGGGGTTGCCACACACCCATGACAGTGCCATGTAAACTTTCTTAAATGTTGATACGTAATTTTAAAATAAAATGAACTGCACTTGGTTGCTCATATCTTCATATGTTTCACCGAGAGGTGTACTCACTTTTGTTGCCTGCCGTTTGGACATTAACTCTTTCCATGCCAGCCATTAAAATGAGAGAGAGAGAGCGAGAGAGAGAGCTAGCTAGCTAGCTAGCTAGCTTATGAGTGCCAGCCGATTTAGATTCTGGCTGATCTTTGCGTGTCAGCCTTGTGTTCTAAACGTCACTCCTGTTTGGCGATTCCAAAGATAAAAAAAATCATGTGTGTACACACACACACACACACACACACACACACACACACACACACACACACACACACGCACACCTTATGTGTGTCCTGAACACAACAACGAGCCTTCTCGCTCATGTCAATGAGCCGCACCGTAAGCGTGTCTCCAATAACAACACTGAAAATGATTACCAAAAAAAGTCAATCATTGTAACATGTGCAAATGAAAAAAAAAAGACTCAATAACAGCAGACACAGTATGCTTTGGCTCTGAACAACATAACATGAGTCAACAGTTCTTAACTTTGAGTTGCTTTCATTTCTTTCTCAGGGCATTGAATCGATGGGAACCGGACTGCTGTGGTTGTCTTCGAAAACGTTTTGCCTCTCATCTGAGAGGGCGTCATCAGTTTAAGCACCAAGGCTTGGTACTGCTTAATACTGCACCAGCCTTAGTTATTTATTACACATGCTACTTTATTGTTCTCACACCCACTTCGGAAATGACACGCGCACTACAATCCTTTGTGGAAATGCACACAGTGTTCTTGCAGCAATCCTTTTTAACTCGGCACAAACTAGGACGGTGTCGTGGCAGACCTCAGCCAAGGCCGAAGCATCCTAATTTGGAACATTCCGATACCTGGGTTGTCAGAGCGCAAGAGGAGGCAAGCAGAAATGAGGAAGGATGTTGTAAATAAGAGAGAGTAAAGCACCCAGGAGGGGAAATCACCAGGGAATGCTGATGGTGGAGAATGCCGACGAGTGCGTGCCTGTGTGTGTGTGTGTGTGTGTGTGTGTGTGTGTGTGTGTGTGTGTGTGTGTGTGTGTGTTGCGGGAGGGAGGACAAGGAGGGCGGTGGTGTATCCCGTAGGGTTAATTACATCTCTGTTCTCTGTCAGTACAATTCTCCCATCTACAATCTGAGCCGCCGCCGCTGCAGGCTGACAGGACACACGCACGCACCCACGCACACACACACAAACACGAGCGCATGCACACACACATTTCCCCGGCCCTGTAATATCCATAAATTATCTAAAAATGACGTTATGGTTCAACCTTGAATATTTGCATAAATTCAAAGTCTTTGTCTTTAATAGTATTGCGTTATAATGATTAATTTCCATAAAGCCATGACTCAAAGCCAGTTTCACCTAGCAACATGAAATTTGGGAGTAGGCCCACAAAAAAGTCTCAAGAAGCCATACCAGAAAAGACAAAGGGAGTCAACCAAGTATGTTGCCTCAAGTCAGCCATTTTAGTCATTTTTGGTCATTTCCAGGAGTCTATCTAAGGCTGTTCTCAAGACCTTGTTTCATACAAGAATATGAAATTTGGTAGGTACATTTATTTTAAGTAGACCCACAAAAAAAGCACAGGAAGCTTTGGCCGTAAAAATATGGAAAGTCACACAGTTTGGCTCAAAGGGGCCATTTTCAGGTCATTTTGCTCATTTTCATTGGTCCATCAAAAGTCATACTCGAAACGAGTGTCACATAAGAACATATCGTTTGGTAAGGATGTCTATCATGAGTAAAACCACAACAAAAAAAAAATTGCAAGAACTGATGTCAGAAAAGACACAGGAAATCTGCTATTTTTGCTCCGATTGGATATTTTAAGATCATGTTTGCCATTTCCATGGGTCTTCCTAAAGCTCTGCTTCCAACAGTTAACAGCATTAAACTTTATCTTATCCCAAGAGACCCACAAAAAAGTCTAAACTAGCTGTGTCCAAAGAGCCACAGGAAGTCTGCCATGTTGTTTTTTAGATGCCATTTTAGGCTTATTTTAGGATATTTTGGTGGTCCTACAACCACAAACTTCCTAGAGATTTTGCATGATTGCTACCAAATGATCATTTCTCATATAAGACAGACGTGCAACAAAGTTGTATTTTTTTCATCAGTGCGTGTGGTTGGAGCAAAACAAGTCCCAAAAATCAATACCCGAAAATACACAGGAAGTCTGAAAGTTTGGCTTGAAAGAAAACTATTAAGCTAATTTTGTTCCCTTAAAGAGTTTCTTCGGAAGCTCTTCGAGCTTTGATCCAATTCCTACCGCATTCGACGGAGTCCACAAAAGCAAAAGGCATCAAACATCCAAGTCGTACAGTTGCGCAATCCCGCCTCGATGGTTTTCCGCCGTCTCTCCCTTGTTTGCACCTCGCCGCTGCAGGGCCGCCGCCGCTCACCTCATTAGCTGCTGCCGTCGCCTTCATTAGCTAATGGGATTGTTTTAAAGCGGGATCCGAGAACAGAAGAGCCCTTGGGAAGACAAACACCCAAACTTTTGTGTGCCGCCGTGGAATCACTTTGTGGCTCGCTTTGTACTGCGAATTACTTACAGCTTTGTGTGTGTGTGTGTGTGTGTGTGTGTGTGTGTGTGTGTGTGTGTGTGTGTGTGTGTGTGTGTGTGTGTGTGTGAGTGAATGTCTGGGAATGCAGGTTGGCGGTTGGGTAATGTGCACATGGACGTGAGTGTGTAGGGGAATGAATGAGTGTGTGTGTGTGTGTGTGTGTGTGTGTGTGTGTGTGTGTGTGTGTGTGTGTGTGTGTGTGTGTGTGTGTGCGCGCGCGCACGCACACGCGCGTGAGTTTGTGACAGTGCGTCTACATGTGTGTTTTTGTGTGTGGGAGAGGAGAGGATGGGTGGTGTATGGCGTAGTGTGTGTGTGTGTGTGTGTGTGTGTGTGTGTGTGTGTGTGTGTGTGTACCTAGGAGTGTGTGCTTGTGTTTGTGGCGGATGAGTGAGTGCAGTGTGTATGGGGAAGTGTTTGTGCATGTGTGTGTATGTGTGTGTGTGTGTGTGAAGGGGTGGGTGTTTGGGAAGTGTGAGTGTGTGTATATAAAAAGCCTTCTCTTAATTAGCTTGCAAGACTTGCTTTGAGAATATGAAACATCACCTGATGATGCAAACAACTGCAAACTGTCGCCTCCACACCTGACACCGTGTGTGCGTGTGTGCGTGTGTGACTACACTTGTAGTCTTTTCACGCCGCGCGTTTTTAGCGCGGCGCTGCGGTAGCCAAAAGGCTTATTTTGCCGGGGGAAATGCGAGCGTGTAAGCAGAATCCTTTGTACTGTGTGATGGGGGTTGGAGGAAAAAAAAGAGCAGCTCTGCAGTGATGTTCTCGCAACACAAAAAAACCCGCCTGCATTCTCGCATATATATAAACACACACACACTCAAGTACCAGTGAAATCTGCCGAGAGACCTTGAAAAGTTGAGAAGAAACAACAAACGGATGACAGGAATGCAAATGAGTCTTGTTTCAAAGAGTATATATGCCACAAACTAAAGTATTAGGCTTAGCTTATGTTGTTAGCTTTAGCCAGTTAGCAAGAGCACAGCAGAAATTGTCATTAGAGAGGGCCAAAATCGTACAGGATTGCACCGGTCTGAATGTAAAATTCATTCCAAATGGTGTGACTAATGTTGCTCCTGTGTTTAGCGACTTGTCATTGAAAATAAGAGATAAGTGCTCTCATTTATGTTGTTAAAAAGGGCAATGAAAAACAGAATGCACTCGATCTCATTCAAGACAGCTCTGTGATGTTTCGTGCTTCTATTTCCAAATGTAATTGATCTCAATGGGTCGGTTTTCCTACCTGGAAACACGCAGTGCTGAAATCTGATTGGATACAAGCTCTTGTGCTATCGCTACGCTACAAAGAAGCAAGAAAATCGACTGTTGGGCTCAATCAGTTATTCTGGTGTTATGTACTTCACATGCATCAAATCCAAACTTGATTTCGGACACTTGGACTCACAGGACGCCATTGTGTCTGTTTGTTTTTGCAGCGCAGTGCGTTCGCTTTTCCCAGGAGCCGGCCGATCAATCTGTGGTCCTGGGTGAGCGAGTGGTCCTCTCCTGCGTGGTCTTCAACTACAGCGGCATCGTCCAGTGGACCAAAGATGGCCTGGCGCTCGGCGTCGGGGAGGGCCTTCGAGGTCAGGGGTTAAAAGTTTGGATTTTTAAGGGAACTACAAGGAGTCTTAATTAATTGTATGAGGCTATATATATTTTTTATCAGATTTTTGGAGTAAAAAGGATCAAATGACAATCAAGTAAAAAGGCGAGAATCTAAAAGCATGACAATAACAAGAAGAGTTATAAAAATCTATGTAAAATATTCAAAAGTTAGGTTAAAATACTATTTCTATAACTAATTATGATAATTGATTAAAACATCTTATCAATATGAAGTAGAAATATAAATATACTAACCTTCACATAATAAAATGTAAATAAATATAAAATGTTAGCAGCAATTATAACAAATATGAGTAGTAAAAATGGTATCAAGAACATATTACACTTTTATATTTTTGTCAAAATATTGTAAATAGAATGAAATGAATGATTTCTACTGATAAGAATTAAATTGCAATTGAAAAGTTATGAATAAATAAATCACATTATTATTATTGTTAGCGATCACAATTTTAACATATTTTTTTCCTTAGTGCACAGATGTGTCTCTCTTGTGGCCCAGGGGCCACATCCAGCTCGCCACATTGGCCTGTCAAAGAAAATTATGTGCACCGACTAAAAGAGCAAAATTACAATTTGATTTCGCGTTTGTAAACCCTGAGATATTGCAAGCGTTTTTTGTTCCCAGTCCCCCTTTGAAAATGCAACTACCGGTATATTTAAACTAATCGTTTTTACTGGCCTCTTGATTTCAGTTCTTCATCAAGTTGGTGTGTATATCGCTGACGCCGGACCAAAACCTCATGTCACAGTTTAGGACATTGTATATATTTTTTCACAAATCTATATTATTGGTCAGTGCACATGTGTGAGTGTTATATTTGCTTGGTGAGTCTGACTTGTTTTTGTAAATGTTTGTTTTTTTTTTCATTACTTGACAAGGTCCAATGAGCCCAATGAATTATGTCAAAAAACAAATGAGCCATTTTCTAAAAAAATATTATTATTGCTAATTTAGTTTAATTATTTGCAGTTTGCCCAGCTTCCCCACACTCGTCTGCTTCCCGCTCCATTTCACCTCATGCTGTCGCCGCCACTAGCCTCCAAGCTAAAAGGAAAATGACCAGCGTTCCGACTTTACATCGCTTCGCCTTGGCGGAGTTTTTCTCGTTGTCTTTACGAGCGGCGATTAACGTCGCCGCCACACTTGAAGAATGGACGCTCTCTCGTACTTGCTCTCTGTCTTTGCGGCTTTTTATTGTCCGAGGCGAGCGCGGCAGCATCTGCAGTCGCCGCCAGAATCTCAATAAAAAGTTATTAAATGTCAAGTGCCGTGGCTTAATGGCGGCTTTATAATCACTTTAGCGTCTCCCGCGGACAAAATGTCTGCTGTTTATTAATTGTGGCGGAAGAGAACGAACCTCAGAGCGTTTGTGCAAAGCTTTTCGCCTTTTATTGGCCCACGAGCCAGCCGCACTTGATAGTTTTAACTGTGAGGCCTTCAAAATGGTAGGCTCACTCACAAAGTGGCAGGAGAATCACGTGACTTACACCAGCCAATCGGTATTAGGAAAGTGAATCACGACGATTTTAAAAGAATCATCAAAGATGAGATACAATCAATATTATTGTGTGGATTCTAATACAAGAGTAGTTTAATGGTGTGCAATAAAATGGCATTTGACATAAAATGCAAATTTATAAGACATGGACAAGGTTAAATATAATAACTGGAATGTGCATGGAAAATAATAAAAATTTTAAAAAAATCACAGTTTAAACAAAATATTTGAATATCAGCAAAAGAACAAAAAAGTGTAACAAAAACAAAATACAATTTCAATATTATATAAATATCTATAAATATTTAAATAATATTAAACCACAATTGCCCTGTGATTGGCTAGCAACCGGTTCAGGGTGTCCCCCGCCTACTGCCCGAAGACAGCTG